GATTGTGAGCCGCCCTGAGTCCCCTTTGGGGAAAAGGGCGGCATATAAATGCAATAAATTCAATTCAATTCAATGTTGAGGGTTGTTTAACCAACTGCATGGTGGCCTGGTGGTGAGGATGCTCACCTCCCACTCAGAAGGTTGGGAGTTCAATCTTAGGGAGCAGCAAATGTTTCTCTCTTAGGGTGCAAACAAACAAAAAATCTGCTGTGAACTCTGCGTAGTGTCAGGAAGGGCATCCAGCAAGGAAATGCTCAGCTCCATCCAGTCACCCTGACTTTACTCCAAATTAAGGGATTACAGTATCACAAAAAGGGAGTTGGGGATTTCTTAATCTAAATAAAGATTTCTATGCTAAGTAAAAGATGAATGCTATCAACACATTCTGAATTTCAGGGTAAGATCACTAATATATTCATTGGCGGTTGCGCTGTTTCCTCTTTTGATACGTGTGTTTATAAGCAGAGATCTGCATGGGAAGAAATATAAATTTCAAAGGATCTTTCATGCCTGTTGGTTCCATAAAAGCTGCAGAGTTGGGTAGATTGGCATGGAATTATCCTTAGGTAGTCTGCAAGTTTTCTGCTCTTCCAAAACTGAAATGCATCGGAGCTGCCTTTGACCTCCTCGTGTTAGCGCATCGTTTGCCACCAGGCGAGAGTAGGAAAATTCAGCAAAACTCAGAAAGAGGACCATAAAGATCTCACAGCAATTGTGCTACGCTGGCTGCAGGTGCCCTTTAGTTGAAGAAGGAAGGAATCACTCACAAAATCGATAGCTGCTCTTCACAGGAGTGAGATTAATCTGAGAGAACAGAGGCAGCATTTTTGCAGCTGGTTGGTTTCAATAATCCATTATTAATGCCTGACTAAGGCCTGGCTCTCAGCAAGGTGGCTAACTTGTCTCCGAGCTGTATCACTTCGGATGGGTAGACGGGTGAGAGGGAGAAAATGCCTTCAAACATTGGCTACATGAGTTCGACATGAGTTCTGAGATCCCAGTTCAGCAATTCCTACCCATGTGCAGGCAACACAGATGCACAATTACAGGAGGATGTGTTGTTGTTTAACCCACCTTTCTTTTGCTATGAGTAGTGCTCTGTGGAAGTATGAGGACTGAAAAGTGCTGTGGCCCGCCAGTGGAGCTGGCAGCAGATTCGGATAGTGAGGAGGTTGGGGAGGAACCTGGGCCAGTCTTGGAGTCTGCGAAAGGCTCTGATGAGGGCTCTGTGTCGGAGGCAGAGAGGGGGCCAGAGCCATATGCCAGTTATCAGCTGCCTTCAGAGTCAGACATCAGTGAGGCAGATGAACAGCTGGAGCCTGTTCCCAGTGTGCGCATGCACAGAGTTGCCAGACAAAGGGAACAACTAAAGAGCAGGGATCGAGTTGGGAGTAAGGCCAGACAATGAATGGCCGCTCCCAGAGGAAATAAAAGAGGAGCAAAAGGGGAGTGGAGTTTGCAGGAGACAATTAATTCTCTTCATTGGTTCATGACTCTCTGAGACTCCTTGGCAAGTTTTGCAGATATCGGCTCTGCAGCTCTCCAAGCCAAGATAAATCTGTGACTGTAAATCCTGCCTTGGAAGACTTTTCTGGATGTGAATGAGCAGAATTCACAGTCAATTAATAAAAGGGGTTTTTGTCGGGACCAGGAGTTTGTTTCATGCTCTTAGGAAGCCTCAGTCAGAACAAAAAGATATGAGACAGAGGAGAACAATTTGCAAACCCAAGTCAGTAAAATATCCATCTGGAGTAGAATCCATCCCTTTTTATTCCTGTCATGTTCAGTCCTTTTCCTCATGATCTGGATTCGTCTGCTTTGGGCAGGAACATCTGAAGTGGCATTTCCTTGAACATGAGTAGAAGGAACAATGTGACCATGGAACTGTTGTATTAGACTTGAGATGCAGGAGATGGGATTCAGTTGACTGCAATGCCGAGGTAGCGCAGTGGTTAGGGTGCATACTGAAGGCCACCACAGCTGACTGTGGCGCAGTGGTTAAATGCAGCACTGCAGGCTACTGCTAGATCAGCAGTTCAGCGGTTCAAATCTAACCGGCTCAGGGTTGACTCAGCCTTCCATCCTTCCGAGGTGGGTAAAATGAGGACCCAGATTGTTGGGGGCAATATGCTGACTCTCTGTAAACCGCTTAGAGAGGCCTGAAAGGCCTATGAAGCGGTATATAAGTCTACTGCTATTGCTATTGCTATTACTGTTATCTGCAGTTCAACGGTTCTAATCTCACCGGCTCAAGGTTAACTCAGCCTTCCATCCTTCTGAGGTGGGTGAAATGAGGACCCAGACTGTGGGGGCGATATACTGACTCTGTAAACTGCTTAGAGAGGGCTGAAAGCCCTATGAAGCGGTATATAAGTCTAACTGCTATTGCTAATGCATCTAACTAGTCTATGGATTTCCTGAGTATGGACAATCCATATACACCCATATAAATAGTGTGGGCTTTTTGGTGCTCTCTGAACTTGGTACCCTGTTTCCCTAAAAATAAGACTAGGTCTTATATTATTTTTGTTCCAAAACACGCATTAAGTCTTATCTTTGGTTAAGACTTATTTTCAGGGAAATGCAGTACGAAACGCATCCATCTGTGTGACAATCTTAACTGGGGCTTGTTTTTGGGGTACACCTTATATTATGAGCATCCTGACAAATCCTGCTAGGGCTTATTTTTCAGTTGGGTCTTATTTTGGGGGGAAACTGGGTAGTTTTCATCCTCACTGATGATAGTTGGCAATGAAACATCTGCAAAAAACAACCAAGCTCAGAGGGCAATAAGGACCCCACAGTCCTCCTCTTCTTCCTTCTCCTCCTCCTCTACAAACTCTATCCTCTACTAGCACTGATGATGTTACCTCGTTGGGTAATGAAAGGTCTGCAAGAAAACCCTCCAAGCTCAAGCAGCATCAAAGACTACGCAGTTCAATCCTGACCTGCAGCTATTCTTTTCCATGTGAACAGTGTTTTATTTTCTCAGCAGCTGACCACAATCCAATCACTTTCAATATGAGACGCCCCTCTCTATTTGGGCATGCTGACCATTCTGTATTGATTCTCAGTTTCCGGATTACGACTTCCCTGTCTGCAGACCCTAAAAGCATCTTATTACTCTCATCTCACCCTCGCTTGGGTTTCGTATGCAGGCAGGCACCCCAGTCCCCCAGTCCTCTTCAGTTGCCAGCACCTGATAATAGGTCACAAGTTCATCTCTTGATCTCCTTAATAACCCACTGGATGTGGGAGAGATGGAGAGCAGGCAGGGGAAAAGAGACAGGCAGAGAAAGCTTGCAATATCAAGGTAGGATTCTTAATTCAGTCCCACCATGACCCAGAGGCCTCCTGCTTTCACCACTCATTCAATTCCAAATCCAAGCCCTGCAATTCAACGCACTTGACCTTTGCCCACCCAAGGCTCAACTGGGAGACAGTGAAAGAAATTTATTCTTTGTGCCTCTAATTCCGTCTGTTCCTCCCTTTTCCCCCCCTTTAGAGATGTACACGTTTATTGCAGGCAAGCAATGAAATAGCAGCCGTTTCTCAATTTATTTATTAAATAGAATAACAAGAATTGGAAGGGACCTTGGAGATCTTCTAGTCCAACCCCACTGCTCAGGCAGGAAACCCTGCACCACTTCAGACAAATGGTTATCCCATCTCTTCTTTTAAAAACTTCCAGTGTTTCGAGCATTGACAACTTCTGGAGTCAAATTATTTTTTTATTTATTAATTGTTTATGCCACCCATCTCCCCTGCAAAGTGATTCTTAAATGGGTTTTTTTTTCCTGTTTTGGCTTGTTTGTGACTGGAATGTTTTCTTAAGAAGGGATAAAAACAGTGGTGGGATTCAGCTGGCTGGCACCTATTCAGGAGAACCGGTTGTTAACTTTCTAAGCAGTTTGGAGAACCGGTTGTTGGAAATCTCATTTTGTGTTTTTTCCCACTTTGCAGGGCTAATCCTGTAAGGAAGGCAGGAAGGAAATATTCTGGTGTTGTTTTTAGCCTAATCTTTATTGCCCTGCTTACAGAAACTGCCTCTCTGATTAACCTTTATTACACTGTAACAGCTAAGTTGAAGCACCCATCGACCTGAGTGACATTGAGTTGGTCATGCCCACCCGGTCACATGACCACCAAGCCAANAGTAAGGCCACAGGTGGATGATGAATGGCCCCTCCCAGAAGAAATAAAAGAGGAGCGAAAGGGGAGTGGAGTTAGCAGGAGACAATTAGTTTGCTTAATTGGTTCGTGACTCTCCGAGACTCCTTGCCAGGTTTTGCAGATATCGGCCTGACAGCTCTCCAATCCAGATAAGGTCTGTGACTGTTAATCCCCCCCATGAAAGACTTTGCTGGATGTGAATGAGCAGAATTCATAGTAAATTCATAAAAGTGTTTTTTTTTTGTCAGGACAAGGAGTTTGCTTCGTGCTCTTGGGAAGCCTAGGTCAGAACAGTGCCCCCCCCCATCCCCTCCCTTTGAGCTCATAGACAAGTCGAGCAGTTCTTGACTTCCTGGACTATTTCTTTCCTGCACAGTGCTTTTAGTCTACACCCTTCCACATAGCCATATCTGTTTTTTTGCAGCAAGAACGCCAACAATTCTCACAGCGAAGTGAAATCTTTTGTCCTGCGCGTGGAAACTTCCCTTCGCATTTCATCCTTTGGGTAAGTATCATGCCAGGAGTAATTATTTTGAATGGTTAAAAGAATGTCCAAGGCCTGCTGTTGCCTGCAAGGCATGCAAATGCTGGAGTTTAATCATAAGCGGGTAAGGGCAAATCACACCTTTAATAACAAAGGAAAGGTGCCATGTGTTGGCAAATCATTTTAACCCTGAAGGCTGCACCAGCTGCCAGGCCAGGAACCCACCTGCCTTTCCATCCCTTCATAAGTTGATCCTCCTCCCTCCCAACAATTTTTAATAAAAGTCTTCCTACTTCCCTGACACCGAGAATGTTGCTCTCTTCTTACTCTGTGTTTTGCCACATGCATTGTTGGGATGATTAGCTAAACAGTGGGGAAAATACAGGTAGTCCTTGACTTACAAGCACAATTGACCCTAAAGTTTAGGTTGCCAAGTGAGAAATTGGGTTAATTGGGGAGTTTTGCCCCATTTTATGACATTTCTTGCCACATTTGTTGTGAATCACCGCAATTGTTAAATTAGCAACACCGTTGTTAAGCAAATCTGACTTCCCATTGTCTGCTTGTCAGAAGGTCACAAAAGGAGATCCCATGACTCCGGGACACTACAACCGTCATAAATATGAACCATTTGTCAAGCATCTGCATGTAAATCACATGACTGGGGATGCTGTATAAGTGTGATAAAAAGTCATAAATCACTTTTTTCAGTGCTGTTGTAACTTCGAATGATCACTAAACAAACTGTTGTGAGGCGAGGACTACCTGTAAAGAAAGAAAATATCCCCAAAGTAGAACTAAAGAGACACTACCAAAAAGCTGGAATTATTCATTCAATAATTTAAAAATTAGTTTAATGAAGTTTGGTCTGGTTGTCTCCCAGTCAATTTACAGTTTTCAATTCATTACCACGGGCAATATTACTTATGTCTGGTTTGGTAAGTGCATCATTAGAGAAGTTACACTTGAAAAGTTCCTTTCATGAGAAATGGTCTTTCTTAGATCTTCGCCATCTTTCTCTGTCCTCCCTTAAATGAAGACCTGGTTTGCTTTTAGAAGATAATTCTCTAATCACTTACTGCTAAATTTATTGCTTGGATTCAAATATATGCATATTTGACTCTGCTCAGTGCAACCAAATATTCCACATTGGTATAGATTGATCAAATGGGAAACAGTGCTTATATCCAGCACAGGAACATGAAGTTTAGTTGATTGGACAAGCAACTTGCAATATTTTAAAGTGCTGTAGATCCCGTCAACTTGACAATCCCCTTAGCCAAGGATGCCTGGTCCACACTTCAATTTTTGCTGTGCTGATTGCGTGAGTTCAGTCTAGGATTTGTGCCCGCTTTCTTATATGACACCAGTGGAATGCTAGTTGCATGAACATTTTCTTATGGAAATATAAGTATCCCTGGGAAATGCTCTCCAATGTGGTTGTTGTTAGTTGTGAAGTCGTGTCTGACCCATCACGACCCCATGGATAACGTTCCTCCAGGCCTTCCTGTCCTCTACCATCCTCTGGAGTCCATTTAAGCTCATGCCTACTGCTTCAGTTTCTCCATCCAACCACCTCATTATCTGCTGTCCCCTTCTTCTTTTGCCCTCCAGCTTTCCCAGCATTAGGATCTTCTTGTCCTTCCTTCTCATCAGGTGGCCAAAGTATTTGAGTTTCATCTTCAGGATCTGGCCTTCTAAAGAGCAGTCAGGGTTGATCTCCTCTAGGACTGATCGGTTTGATCGCCTTGCAGTTCAAGGGACTCGCAGGAGTCTTCTCCACACCATAGTTCAAAGGCTTCAATTCTTTGGCGCTCAACCTTTCTTATGGTCCAACCTTCACAGGCATACATTGCAACTGGAAAATGTGGCAGCAGCTGGTATTTACCCCAAGGGAGCTGTTTTTCTTCTGAAACCTGAAATCTAGTCATCCATGATTATCTCCTCCAGGAAACACAAGCAAGTTATTTAAATAGACATTTTACCGAAAGCTCAGCTAGCTTATATTCAAGGAATATGCAGCTGGAGAGACAATAAAATTTCCCACACGATTTTATGCCCCATGTTGGAGAGTATGAATCAGCTTTTAATTCAAGTACTTTGAGAAAACAGTCCATTTGATTACAGTGATTAGCAAATGTTCTTGATTAGTTAGCGTTCCCTTGAACAAACACCGTGGGGTCTGTTATATTCCAGTCACAAGTTAACACTTGAAACCATTGGTCAAACCTTTTAGACAAGTTTTCTTTTCCCAGTCCTCATGAATCCAGCAGGGCAACTTTCTATATTCCCCCAGTTCCCCAAGAAAATGCCTCTTTCTTAATTAGCAACTCTTGGCAGGTTAGCAGCTTTTGCAGAAGTAGCTTAGAATAACACCTCGTCTAATTGTAGCAATTTAAATGAACGCTCCTTAATCATAAAAGAGTCTGTGCATGATGGAATTTCAAAAGGGAACAAAAAACATATAAACCAGGAATGAGGAAGCTCTAGCCTACAGCCCCGAGGACTCTTATTTCTCATTTATTTATTTATTTATTCCATTTATTAGGCTTGTTTGCTGCTCATCACGCCTAGAGGCAACTCTGGGGTTTTAGGAAGAGCCTGTCTCCTCCTTTTCAAATCCTGCCTTTGACAGTCAGGCTGTTCCACGTGTCTTTCTACTCTCTCATCAAGAAGTCTGTATTTTTCACAGGCTTCAGGTGGTGAGAGCTTCTGGCGGTTGATTTCCAAGGCCTGCTGGTGAACTTCCCCAACATTTGCCTCTCAAAATGCCAAGGATTAAATTTTTGAGGTTCTTCATGCAGAACTTACATTATCTCCGCAACTAAGCAGTCGCCTTCCCTCTGTACCTAGGCTTACTAGACATTTTCTGTTAAAATTATAAAACTGTTTTGAATGAATGCCTCCTAATTTACCAAGTGGTCAAAGATTAATGGGGGGGGGAATCACTTCAGGGGGGTTTAATCTGAGGTAGTTTGAGCATATGCAGATCTTTCTCATTCTATTCTTGATAAAGGAGGGTTGATTCCTGGGAGAAGATGCAAGAGACCCAAATGTTGAGTAGAGCAGGCCATTTACAGATCTTAACACCTATAATTTACCAATCACCAAGAGTCGAAGAGGAGGCATTAAGCAATCTAATGTATACCACCTTAAGTTTCATCATGGACTAAAGGAATATCATAAATTATAATATTTATAAACATAAGCTGTCTACCATGGACACACATTTCTTAAGAGGTCCCTAAGGGGGCATGCATAAGTGCACCAGCGTGCCTCCTGTCCCAGTCCTGTCCCATTTATATGTATTCTTTACATGTTTATGGCTATGCTTTGCTTATTTTTATCCATTTTTTTCATGTATTTTTCATACTTATTTCCATGCACTTGTTGACAAATTAAATAAATAAATAATAAATAAATAAATAAATAAATAAATAAATAAATAAATGCACAACTAGTCACACTCAACCTTGACTAGGCTCAGAAAAATCTCAGCAGGTCTGCTTCCACTGTATTTCCCCCCAAAATATGACCTCCCCCGAAAGTAAATCCTAGCTTGATTTTTACACATATGCCCAATATCAACCATACTCTAAAACGGGCAGAGCCATCGCCATTTTTAATATTTTTATTAAGCAGGAGAATCAAACTATTTTTTATTACTGATTTTTAACAATTACTTTGCTCCATAATGTTTCGGCCCTGTATTTAGTAACAAAAGTTGCATACGAGGTAGAAGGAGATTGCTGATTGTTGGTGGGCTCATTGTATCATATTTTTTGCATTCTATTTGATAAAATAGAACAAAGAAAAAATAGAAAAATAACAAAAGGAAAAATACACAGCAAACAACAAGAAATAATTATGTGTAAGGGGACGCAGTGGCTCAGTGGCTGAGACACTTAACATGTCGAAAGGTTGGCAGTTCAGCAGTTCGAATCCCTGGTGCTGCATAACGGAGTGAGCTCCTATTACTTGTCCCAGCTTCTGCCAACTTAGCAGTTCGAAAGCATGTAAAAATGCAAGAAGAACAATAGGGACCACCTTTGGTGGGAAGGTAACAGCATTCCATGCGCCTTCGGCCACATGATCACAGAGACGTCTTTTGCCAGTGCTGGCTCTATGGCTTTGAAACAGAGATGAGCATCTCCCCCTAGAATCAGGAACGACTAGCACGTATGTGCGAGGGGAACCTTTACCTTATATGTATGAATATGTACAGTGAGAGGTGTGTACAGTAATTTTGTGGGCGTCTCTCATGTGTGTGGGTGTGAAGTTTGCATAACAGTTCCTTTTTCATTATATCTGGGCCTAGAAGCAATGTTCATGAGTTATAGGTAACACCACTCTTCAGTTCAGTAATTGAAGGCATAAATTTGTTTCTTCCGTGTAAAAGAACTAGTGTCCTGACAGCAAGAAGGATGTAGAAAAACTATTTGCATAGTTCAGCCATCAATTACCATCTAATAAGTACATGGTTCATAGGAATATGATCATCTAAAAATATCCAAGTTCATTTCAAAGTCAATTTAAAATATGTGTCATTTTCCCCCAGAACATAATAACCTTCAGAAATAACAAAAATATATTTAATGAATCATTTATTCTTGTTGCATTTTTATTGTTTTATTAACTTCATTCTGCTTTACTTCATAAATAAAACATACAATACAACATAAAAATAATTATTATCATTGCATTGCTTAATTGTGGATTAAATCCACAGCCTTGGGCCTACTATAAAAGAATGGAATAAAAATATCAAATAAGCAAATCGTATTGTTGCCAAACATTAATTTTGCAATTTGCTTCTCAGTTAAAATAAATACATGTTGAATGCTTAGCCAGAGGAACACACACATGTTCTGATTTCCATGCTTACACATCCCAGTAAAGGGCATTGCTATATTAGTAGACATCACAGTGAACTTTATGTGATGTTAAGACTTGATTACTGTTGTTTGGATTTTGCTTTAATTTTGCCTCACATCATTGAGAAATGATTTGCATTGATTATTTAAATTGCTCTAGTCCCCAGTGAATAATTTCTTTGTCTGAAATGCTTTTTTCTACCTCTTCCACAGAGCATCCATGCCAGACGCTGTGGCTCTGCCTGGTTGGGCGCCTGGTAGATCAGTGCAGCGTGAACAAGATATCGGCCCTGGGGTCCACCATGTCTATCAGGTGGGTGTTTCTTGCTGAGCAGAAGAAGCCGATGGAATAGCTGGGACTTCCCAATGGGCCAAATGTCCTTGGGGGTGCCTATTTTATTTCTGGGATCGGATCAGTGGTGGGCTTCAAAATTTTTTAGAACCTCTTCTGTAGGTGTGGCCTGCTTTGTGGGAGTGGCTTGCCGACCATGTGAACGGGTGGGAGTAGCTTGCCAGTCATGTGACTGGGTGGGTGTGGCCAACTTATAAAATGTGGTGAAACTCACTTAACAACACTCTTGTTTAGCAACCAAAATGTTGGCTCAGAAACTGGCATTTGGAGCGCACAAGTCTTAAA